ATTAAACATTTATAAGAATATTATGTCCTATAAATAAATTTTAAGAATATTATTGAATTTTCACGAAAAAAAATCAAAGTAAAATGCTTATCAAACAGGCAAAAGTCGTTGAATATGACAAGGAAGTGTTTGAAGGAAATATAAATACTCAACAGAAGCATCAATTGAATTTTAAGTAGTCATTTTTGTTCACTCTAGGAAAGTGTCATTGAAATCAAAACTTGTCATTGATATTCTGATTGTTACATTTCGTTTCACACAACAGATTGATTATATTTCTAAAATGCATTTATAAACATACCCCAAGGCAAATTGTCCGTCCTGTAATATATTTTGATATGATGCACACTTTTTACTTCCTCTAGATTTACTCGCCATTCTGCTGTCTGTTCATAATCATTCTATATTGTACATTGCCCACTTATATACGACAAATCGACATAAAGTCCATCCACGGCTTTATCTGCTCCCCAATCCGGATAAGGATAAGGATACCGCTGCCATGCAGACTTATTTAAAGCAATGTTTTCTGTAACGAAACAAACTGAGCCTAAATTGGGGAGGTTTTCCACCTATAATGTTTTCATTTTTTGACAGTTATGGAATTTCTGTTCCTTAAATGCCTTCTTTTTCATTTGAACATTTTAATTATTTAATTTAAAAAAAACGTATCACTGGATGTAGTCATGCTTTAAATCTAAATTAGGTACAGCATGTATATACATAAACAGTTTATTATTCATAGGAAAATTATAACAAAAAATGTAAAAGGCATCGAATGATTATTTTGCTTATCAAACGAATTACGACAGGTTACATACAGTAGGAATATATCTCTTTTCGGAATAGTATCAATATCTGTTATGATTTCTTCGTCTTATTTAAAATTGTTTGATAATGTTTCTTCTCTCAAAAACAAACCTTTTTACATGTATTAGTATAATAATTTAACTAGATATTTATTTAGTGCAGTAGAATGTAGGGGGAAGATATTTCATCATTGCTTTTTACCGAAAGGAAGTTATGTAAACAAACAAGGTTGTAAAACTTTGTAAATATTACAGATTTGAATAATCCTTCCTTGTTTTCCTCTGCTTAGTTTAAAAAACAAGAAATATATAATAACATGTCTCAGGTCTTACGATCATATAACTGATAAATTCACATAATATATATTTTTTCGGTAAGTTGTATGTTTTAACAACTTGTTCTCGACGAGACAAAAAATTAACACATATTCTTTCATGAGAAAGTATTTTCAAGTGAAAATCAAGGTTCCAGTTTTAAACATTACCGTCATGAGTATTTATATTAACACATTGTCGCATATCAAATATTTATAACCTTTACAAGAAACCTTTAACAAAACACTACTTATAAGGGAACTGGATGGACAGAAGTAAATTTCTTCTAAAATTATTTGTATTTTTAAACCTTCATCCTAAAGTAGTTGATTTGCAATATATACGTATATATTTTTATATTTTTTGAATATTCAGTTATATCAATTTAGAAAGATCACCTTAAAACGTTCTATTGAATGAAACATATGGAGATAGAGAACAGAATTCATGATCAGGAGTCCAAAAACAATACAAAACAGGAGCAGAGCAGAGCAAAAAATAGTTATTTCTGTTACAAGTGTATTTTGTAGTGATTAAGCTTGCTGTAAGTTTAGTTGTTGATATGCGCGTAAGAAAGAAAGGAAGAAGGAGAAAGAAGTAATTGGTTCAATTAGCTGATAAAGCAGATAGATCTTACCATAAGCTAGTGCAATATACATGTATCTTGAAATTATTAATCCACTGAAATAACCAAAAAGTACAACTTCACCTTCCATTTCCTTTAATATAACATTTTTTTAATCCAGGAAGTATAATTATGTTTTTGTACCTTACGCCGATTTAAACTTCTCAATAAGGTTTGTATGAAAGTCATTTAGTAACTTTAACTGGTTTTATTTTAAGATTTATCGCTAAAACAAACCGGGTCATTTTTTTTTCTATTTTTAAAGTATAGGTTACCAAGTCATGCAGGGAGATAAGGAACAGTATTCAATCTGAAAGTCAATAAAACAATTAAAAAAAAACAAGAGCAGAACAAACAGATACCCCCAAAACATCAGAGGTGGGATCAAGAGCCATGGAGGAATGAAAAAAAATCACTGTTTGCGCTCAATAAGGACCTGGTTGCAGTCTTCATTTGTAATTACATGTACATATATTATAATTTATTATTGAATGTTTTGTTTGCAAATAGTGCATATTGCAAAAGACCAATATGTGTTTCTAAATTACGAGTGAGTATAGTTTTTCAAATATTGTAAAATTATTGATGACAACAGTTCAAAAGTTAACACTGGAAGCATTTGAAATGAACTATGAAGACAGTGCACAGTAACTAGGCCTAAAATTCTAGTGATTAATTACAAATTTTGTGAAATCGTTCTATAGATTTTCCTATGATCTTTTTTTAGTATAATAAGAAATTTTCGGTATAATAATTTTAAATGAATAAAATGCCATTCTTTGTAATACATTGAACGTCAAAAAACACTGTTTTTAAAAGTATGGTCGTATTTTATTTCTTAATTCATTCAATAGCGTGTACTTTCTATTCTGAAATTCCTTTATGTCGGCAGGATCATATGAAGCTTCTGAAATCCGACGATTACAACAAATGGAGGTCAAATCTTGTAAAGACGAGTTTTTGATAGTTTTTGCTCCCATTACAAATATTTCCTTCAGCCTTCAATTTTGACCTGATATGGAGTCTTAGGTTGATATCGGATGAGATTAAGATTTTGGCAGTACTACTCTCTATATGATATCTCCAAAAAGAGTGTTGAGGCATACTGATTGCCATATCCGTTCTAACATTTGCAATCATCTTGAATATTAAATAATTCTTGAGAGTATAGTAAAACAATTGTTATTTATATTCCTCTATCAAGAGGGCAAGACATGCCAAGGAAACAAATCATGAGTACATCGACGGAAGTTTAATCAAGGATGTGAAGCAACTATCAATTGAATTGATATGCATTATACTAGGAAAACGACAGGTTCGTGAAATGATTCACTGAAATAAAGGACTTTTTTGTGAAAACAGCTTCACACATAGAAAAAAAAAACAGGAAGTACTACAAAACCGCAACCTGCAGCCGAATAACATAACATGTTACTCATAAATTAGCATAATAAAAATATCAGTAGATTATAAACATTGCGATGTGATTAGCAATCGTTAATCTGGCATATTTCATGATTTAACATACGAATCCCCGAAAAACATTTTTTAGCTAATTTAGCATTCCATGTCAGAAAATGAGGATGATTTTCAAAATGAAGTGGAGTGTCATATTTGAAGCTTAAAACGTCAGAGCTTTGCTCTTAGAAATTGTAAACATGAATTTAAACAATCTTATTAAACACGTTTGTACTTGTAATCTTTCTCATAATATTAATGTCATTTTATTTTCTCTCTCTCTCTCTCTCTCTCTCTCTCTCTCTCTCTCTCTTATAACAGATAAGCGAAACATGTCCAGAGCGTTCTTCATGATGGAAAAGAAAATTGTATTTTGTCGCACCTCTGATGTTCTTTACCTCTGTGATATTGTCGGCTTTGATAGAATATCACACTGACAGTATCACTTTGAACATATTGAAGGTGTGATACACTGAATAAGTTTTTATTCTATGTTGAGAAAATTCATTCATTAGCATCAGGTAGAGAACTCTGCCAGTGTAAAGACGAATAATGACCCCCATAGAATAATGATAACTCTTGTCATTATCCGTCGTCAAAAAATGACCATTTTGCCCGGAAAAGGGTGCCATCACCTAAAAATTTGCTTATCCCACGTGAAGAAAAATGATTTCTGTAGAAAATGACCACCTTGTGGATTAAACTGAAAATTTATCAGGTGCAAACAATTGATAAAGAGACCTATTGGCAAAAATACTCACCGGAACTAAATAAGGAATAAATTGATAAATTGATCTCATTGAATTATACAATTAGTGCTATTTTAAGGTCAATGCAATGATTCAGAATCTAAAAGGCTAAGTGAATATTGCATTTTTTTTTCGATGATGGTTAATCATCGCTCTGACAAATCTTTGTTACATAGAGCCATTGTTCATCTCCTTCTTTACTTATTGATCGGAGACATATTAATGAATAACATGTCAATAAGTGAGCCTAATGCTCAAAGTACCTCTAGACAGTTTAAATCTTGTTTTTTCTCACCCTTTAACTTGTTTATCTTTTTTTATTGTGTAAAATATGAAAATAAGAACGTTTTAATTCAATTTAGTCATATTTTCTTCATACTAAAGAAAAATATGTAAAAAAAAAAATAATAATAATAATTGAAGACCATTCCTTCTTGTTTTATATGTGTTCAGTTAACAGATGTACAAGTTTCTTTAAACAACCCATACATGGTCAAAACTGGAGGGACTGCGAGCATTGAGCTCATTAAATGATATCCACTGCCCACCCCCTCCGCTTTATGATTATAATGGCATAATTTATTTGCTTTGCTTTGTGAGACCCAAATAAGTGTCAGATCACAAAGTGCTTGTTGTGTTTGAATATGAACATGGGGGATTGAGGCAATATTTTTTTCATTGCCTTGATAAAATTCTTTATTGATAACAAACATAAGTTTCATAAATAAAAGTTTTTAAAATAATTGGTGATTGAATTTGTCTTAATAGTTGATATAAGGTTTTAATTTCGTTTTTTAGTTTTTTAGTTGTTTTTTATTATTATTATTATTATTATTATTATTATTATTATTATTATTATTATTATTTTTATGGATGAGGGGTCATTTCTGTCGTTGAAAAATATCCCCCGGTCATTATTTGATGAGGTAAATTATATTTCTTTTTACCGGTTAGTTCATTTAACCGTGAATATAAGTTTTTCCGGAAATATGCATTTGATATAAAAAGCTGTTGATACTTAACCTAACTATCTCATTCAGGCAAGGTTAAAACTTGAGAAAACATTTTCTTTAGTTTTCTTCCTGGATTAAAAGCAATCTACATCTATCGTCATGGACAGTAAAGTGGTGTTGTTTTGTCTTCTCGCAAAATTAAATCTGATCGGGATTTTTGCATATGGTAAGATGATGATCATTTCCTTTTCTTTTAGTAGTTAAAATGTTAGAATAATGATTGTTGTTATGACAAAAAGCTAAGCGATTAATATGTTAAGAAATATATGGAAAACAATATCACGCAACCCATTTTACATGCTGTATCTGATTGAACCTTTTGACTTCACAAAATGAACGATATCATGTAGAAGGGAATTTAATGCCCTGTACATGTATTTGGATAAATCATTAAGACAATTGTATAATCACGTATTTTCCAAGACAAGGATATCGCACCACCATACCCCACCTCCACCAAATAGTTAGGTAAAAAAGAGAGGTAAGGAGAAGTTTCAATTAATACCAGTATCAATAAAGGTATTTTTAATCATGGAGCTAACTAATATAAGCCCTTGGCCTTCTGTTCAATCCATTTTCATATTGTATACTTCTATGTATATTATAAATAAAATACTCTTTCAAGCTCATGCGTTAATAATAGTCTAACAATATGCATGAATAACGTCAGTCAATAATAATTTGTATTTTCTGACAATGTCTTTGTATTGACCATAGGACTAACGAAATGTACAAAACGGATGATTATTATGACTATACGATAATCACTTTCAACTGCCGATATTCGAGGAAAATCTACTAGTATATATATATTTTAATAAAAAAAAATCAAGCCAATTTTATGAATAATAATCGGTATATAATTGTATGTCTGCGTAGTTAATTTTTACAAAGGTAGAAAAATAGACTATACTTTAGAGTTTAAAGCATACACAATACTTTAAGTAAATGGAATAACGAAATGTTGAACTTAATATTTTATACCCCCCCCCCAACCCCACCCCCCCCAAAAAAAAAAATAATTGTATCACTTGTTGATAAAGTGTTTTATTCCCTTATGCATGCCACTATTGATTTCTATGGAAATGGTAATATATATGACGTCATGCGATGTTGAGGTCATGACCTTCCAAAGCTGAATTTTTAGTTGAATTTAAGGTAAATATGTATCAAGCAAAAGTACTCAATTTAACGTTCTCACTGTGAACATTTTACACGTTCTAACTCAGGAAATTTTAGTTCCAAATAATTCTGATATAAACTTATAATAACACAATATATTTTCCAGCGTTTCTCAGTATTTTTAGTACTATGATTCTTAACAGATAACGTTGCATTACGTAAGTTGACATGGCAGCAGTTTCCTTATACAGACCGTCCATTAAATAACATTACGATGGCAGAAAAAGCTGTTGATGGGCTGTATTCTGACCGTAGTGCCTTTGGAGGACAATGTACGATATCGGCAAACAAAAGGTTCACTGCAACCTGGCGGGTGGATCTAGGAGGAGTACTCAGTATACACCATATAAGGATATACTATAGAACAGACAATAATCCCTGGGGTACAGTTAAAAGCTAGTTTAAATTCAATATTTTTCTATTTAAATAATTGAATAATGTTGCATATATCCATTTCTTTTCTTTCGATTTTTTCACTGTCTTTCTTCGAATGTATCATTTATGCATAAATGCATTTGGAAACCAATGTGTCTTTGACAATATTACATCTACATAATGTCATTTTACATGCATTTCCTTTCCTTTTTCTCTAGACATAAGTAATGGATACACGTCACGGTTTCTTGGTTTCTCGGTTTACATCTCGAACACATCAAACAAATATGATGGCTATCTATGTTTTAAAGATACAAACTACACTAGATACACGATACCTGACAATGTAACCAAAGAATGTGTAAAACACGGACGCTACATCATCTACTACAATAAGAGACCCCGTCTAGCTGTCAACCGAGAGGGATATTCCAGATACGCATACAGTGAATTATGTGAACTTGAAGTTTATGGTAAGAAACGCAATAAAACAATTAGATTTGATATACATAAAGGTATATTCAGATAACATATCTAATAGAATGAATTAAAAATTACTGAAAAAGGAAGAAAAGGACACAGGCGTATACCAGTCTTTTCTAAATGGTAACAAAAAGAAAGACAGAATTGTAGCTGAAATATAATTTAAATGCTACTTATATGTGTTTTTTTTAGTGAATGACTGAAAATATCACATAACATTCATCGAAATATCTTTCTTTCTGTGTTATCCTAAACTCAACTGCCTAAAGTAAATTTTGCTAACCTTACGTTAGATATACATTGTTCAAAGGAAATATTCAAATTGCATATCACTGTAAATTATCTATATATTAAAATGTAAAAATAAATAATTAATGATACATAAAATGCTAAAACATATGCAAACGGTGGGTATTGCTGAATATTTACATTGCATATGTTTTTGGCATATAAAGTGAATGGAAATCTATTGCATTCAAAACACCATAACACAGACAGGGTGCCAAAAGGTTAAATCATGCGTTTTAGTTTGACGTGATAAATGTTGATCGCAACGTCACAAGCACAATAAAAAAAAAATCACTCTCAAATTGACCAGAGGCTTTTACGTTAGCTGATACATAAGCTGTGGCTAACACGAAGGATAATACGTGTTTTAAAGAGAAATCACATTTGTAGATAAGGGAGAAATTTACGAAAGATAATACGTGTTTTTAAATAGAAATCACATTTGTAGATAAGGGAGAAAGTTACGAAGGATAATACTTGTTTTTAAATAGAAATCACATTTGTGGATAAGGGAGAAAGTTTAAAAATGTAAATATCAGCCATGAACCATAATGCTTTGAAAGATATAGTCTCATAAATACAACAGTATGTGCAAACAAACTGCGTAACGAGCGTCAGTGTATGCAAACAAATTGAGAAAAACACGTTACTCAATTTGTTCGCACACACCGTTGAAGTTATGAAACTACATCTTTAAAAAGATTCATTAATTTAGATAATTGCTAATTATTCAAATAGGATGCTCTACTCGAGGATTTTATGGAGAAGATTGTGACTTACCGTGTCCAGAGAATTGTCAGGAGAGACGTTGTGACATCGTTAATGGGACTTGTTTAGAATGTCGACCCGGATACAAAGGAAAACAATGTGAAGAACGTATGTAAATACAACCCATTTGTAGAGAGAAAGAGCGTTAACATCCGTTTTATTATAACCCTAACTAGTTTAGAAACTCGCTTTACTATTTCTGTATTGATTTGGTATCAACAGTATGAGAAAAAAAAATCACTATAAGTGAAAACTATTCTGAAACTTTTTGGTATATATAATAAGTAACACAAATGATTTATGTATTTCCGTGGCGTTAAAAAAACTTCGCTTTCTTCATGTTTTTCTGCGTAGGAACTTCCTCTCTGATGAAAAATTAATCAAAATACAGTTATCCTTGCTGTTAAAAAATTCTAGGCGTTATGGAATATGTTGATACAGACACAAATTTCGAAGAAAACAGGAGCCCACATAAGGACGTGAAAACATGCTTATTTGTTTAGCACGTAAATTTTTATGACGCCGAAAACAAATTTTGGAGGGTAAACATTTTTTTACGTGACCCTTTTGTACGTCCATCTGTCCGTCACTCTGTCATTTTTTCCCTCTTTCTTTTTGTTTGTCTGTCCGAAAACATTAATGTGGCATAACTGTTGATTTAGAGGAGCCTTGATTTTCATGTCACATGTGTATTCTTTATGACAAGACTTTTTTTACGTACCAAATTAGACCCTGTGATCCTGGCCTTGGAGTTTTATCAATTTTGACACAAAAATATAAAACTTTTACTTTGGCAATATCTTAGATAATAGTAGATACCACGACTTTTATTCATTTTATATGTATTTTTGTGGACAGTCCTTTTATTGGATACTAACAACTTTGACCCTTGACCATGAAGATCTCAGTTTTTCTAAAAAAAAAAATCTTTATCATTGGCCATATCTTTTGACCAGTTATAGCTAATGCCTTCATACTTCACATAAGTTATTCTAGTGAGAAGATGCGTCTTAGGATAACTAGAACTTTGGCGCTTTGACCTTGACCATGGAGTTTAAACCAAATTAAAAAAGCAAACCTTCACCATAGCCTTTAAAAGGGTTAGAGCTAGTGCTTTCATATTTTACATATTTCATCCCTGTGACAAAACCTTTCATTTGATATCAAGAACTTTGACCCTTTGACCTTGACCTTGGAGTTTGACCGACCTCTAAAATTTATAATCTTGGTCATAACTTTTAAAGGGTTACAAGTGAATCTCTCATACTTTACATTTGCATTCTTTGTGGCAAGACCTTTTCCTGGATTTCAATTAACTTGACCTTTTGACCTTGGTGACTTTGGTACTTATGAGAAAACTTTAACATTAGCCATAATTTTTGAACGGTATCTTTCAAAAATGTCATTCTTGTGAGGAGTCCCTTAATTAAGTACCAAGAACTTTGACCCTTTGACCTCGGAGTTTGACCTACATGTAAAAAGCAAACCCTGACCAAAGCTTTTCAAGGGTTAAAACTATTGCATTCATTCTTTTTATGTTTAATTCTAGTGAAAAGACCTTTCATTTTGATATGAAGAATTTTGACCTTTTAACCTTGACCTTTGAGTTTAACCTACTTTTTGAAAAAAAGTTGACCTTGGCCATAACTGTCTAAGGGTTAGAGCTAGGGCTTTCATACTTCACATATAGAAAAATTTAATCTTTGCTATGTTATCATATAGGAGCACCAGTGTTTCACATACACATCTCGTTTTTGGTATTTTATCAGCGCTTTATTTAAATCTTTGTTTATACAAATCTTTAAGTCTTTATCAATGTCCTTATCCAGTATATCACGATAATTAAGTTCCTAAAACAAGATGCAGAAAACCATGATAGTATAATAAATCACCGTAAAGAAAATATTTCATCGCTCAAAAAACAAAACAAAGCAAAAAACCCCAGTATTACTCTTCGAGGAAAAGTTAATTTGAAGTGCGGAAATGTACACTCGCTAATAGCTAATAGCGAAGCAATCGAAAACATGCAATGCCATTTAATCATTTAAGTTTCTGAATGGTACTAAACATCTTCTCCAAATAATATAATCTTGTTTGGTTTTTCTTTGTACATGTAATAAGCTTGTACATTTAAAATAGCATAAGAATTTTCGATTGAATACCCTATAATTTTCAGAATGCGACAACTATAAATACGGCTTGGAGTGCAGTAAAAGCTGTGGTAATTGTAGCAATGGAGAACCATGTTATCACGTGAACGGAAGTTGTACGAACGGATGTGACGCTGGAGTTCAAGGATATAGATGTGACGAAAGTTAGTCTATACATGGATCAACATTATTGTAGTTGTTTCCCTATGCAAGAAAAATATTTCTTTTCTGTATTCGCAATTAAAAATAGTGAAGTCATAAATGAAGACAAAAAGAATCAATGAAGGCGAGCAGAGCTCCTAAAAATGTCATATATAGCAAGAAATTTATTTCTACACCAGTTTTCATTTCTTTCTAGAATGCCCTGAGGGACGTTATGGTAAAAACTGCCAGGATGCGTGTAGCATCAACTGTGGAGTTCCTAGTAGATGTGACAGAGTAACAGGGGAATGTCATGGTGGATGTCAGGCGGGGTGGAAAGACATAGGGTGTTACAAGAGTGAGGACATTTTAATATTATGCATCAATATTGGGTTGTCAAAATTTCATTTTTTATCAATTGTTGGCCTTTTTACAAGATACACAAGAAGGAATATAAAAATGATATTTATTACGATAGAAATGTCAACATCTTGTCAAATTTTCAATTCTTTTTGAGGAAAAATATAAAACATTGCTAAGTTTTGGATAGTTTTCTCAAAATGATGCTGAAAATAAAATAAAATGTGGTTTCCCTTCTGCAGAATGTGATGAAAATAAATTTGGACTAAACTGTGCACATTTCTGCGGGGTTTGTCTTGATAAAGAACAATGTCATCACATAAACGGGACATGCTTGAATGGCTGTGACAGGGGATATCAAGGAGACAACTGTACTAAGGGTAAGTATATCAAGATATCAAAGAATCAATTGTAATGAAGGTAACAGATTGGGTTTAAAAGTTTAAGATAGCAATATTTTGATTAATTGTATGTTGTCTAATGTCCCATTGGAGAACTTTTATCTCATATAAAGACGTCACCCTTTGACAGTATAGGGCTTTGAATTTAGACTTATACTCGGCAATCAGGGCCATTAAACAATAAGGGTTCTCTATCGTGCCAATGCCTACGTTGATATGGGACGCGTTTTCATTTCTTTCCAGAATGCCCCGAGGGCACTTATAGTTTCAACTGCCAGTACACTTGTAGCATCAACTGCGGAGTCCCTGGTAGATGTGACAGAGTGACAGGGGAATGTCAAGGCGGATGTCAGGAGGGATGGAAAGGCACAAGATGTGATAGAAGTGCGAAAGTTTAAATATAATGTCCATGTTAACATATTGGTTTGACAAAATAGAATAGTTATCAAAGCTACCAGCAGCAGTTCACATTGCTGACTTTATTACAAGATACAAACAGGAAAATGAATTTAAAATAATCAAAAAAGAATATTTACGTTCAGAAATAAAAAGCTTTTGCCAAATGTTCAAACGATCCATAGAGAATATATGAAAAAAAGAAGGTACGTTAGGCACCAAAATCCGCCTAGTCCCAAAATCTGGTGAAAATATTTAAATAGTTTGTATTGGATACCCCTGTTCTAAATCAATTTATTTTTTGAAAATATCCCAAACCGTTTTCCCTACACAACTCACTAAAAATGCAATGTTTTCTTAAGAAAATAACACTGACGACGTCATGACGTTCACATGGCGTTATCAAATTTCAACGTAATGATTCCGGTACAGCGTAAAGAATTGTACATTTCTCAGCCTAAAAATATATATTTTCTTAAATAAATTCATATTTAAGTCTATTTTACTTTATTTTTTATTTAATCTGTTCTTAACCTTTCAGGGTTTTTTCTTTATATGAATTGATATTTACAATAACCGTGGGTCATTTAAGGAGATAATTTTCCGAGAAAACTATTTCACCACGAAAGCGTATTTATTGTCAGAATTTTTCCCCTCTTCATTTCCCTAAAATTCATGATATTAATTAAAATACTAAATTAAATTTTGAGATACCAGTATACCATACAATTATGCTTACCTTTTACTTATTAGGTATATACATGTACGAGAATATACAAACACAATTATATGTGTGCAGGCTTGAAAGCGCAAGATGTGCTTTTACTGCGTACAAAATCTTGACTGCAACATAATTATCCCAGTTTTTATGCCAGCATTTTCCTTGAAAGTTTTTCCTATTAAAGATTTATTTTTGATTAAGCTAAGACATTATCTATGCATTACTTTGTTTCGGTTTTATTACTACAGTATAGTATTTTTAATAGTATATAATCATTATTGATATGAAGCTTAATAAGGTTACATATTTTTAAAAAATAAAGAACCGACTAATATACAATGTATTTATGTTACGTGTCTGAAAGAGAAAATATTCCCAACAACGACAGCTATGTCACCCCCTGTCCTTCTGACAATCACGCATACTCTGTATTTAGTATTTGTGGTAGTTGGGTCGGTTATTATGCTTCTATAATAATGTACATTGCACATGTATTATCGTAACGTGAAGCGGTCACCCATCCAAGAGTTAAACAGGCTCGCCATTGCTGAAATCCTGACTCACTAGCGAGGCAGTATAAGTAACATATATACTATCCGCTACCCCCCCCCCCCCCCCCCCCCCCCGCGCTTACGGAAGCTTCGACCCTAAGCTTAGCATGAGTTATCTCTGAGTGACTGGACCTCTTAAAGTCGTCCATGAATACAAAGTCCGTACCTGGACACAAAGTCCTATAACCTTAGAGCTTCTTGATGCTAGCTCTAAGACTTCCTGAAGCAAAGTCGCCAAACAGCAGAGTCACAACGTTGTCATCAATTCTGTGAATTTCCGCGATTTTTAAATAGCTACGGTAAGCACTTCATAGGCGTCAGAACCGGGGGTTGGTTGGTTGGTTGGTTGGTTGGTGGGGGGGGGGGGGGGGGGGGGTTGGGGGCTTAGCCCCCCACCCCACTTTTTCCCCAAATATATACATGTACTTAGTATAGACATTGAACATTGCTTCGTAGGTTTAGCCCCCCCCCCACTTTCCACAGACACGTCGCAGTATAGGTTAAAAATAGGTGAAAGTGGTCGTGTCTGGAAAAAAAATTTGGTACTGAAGTTCGAATCACACCCCCCCCCCCCCCCTCCCACGGAAAAGGATTTTCGTGTTTGGGAAATGGACATTTCCCTTTTTTTTTGCTTGTCGGGTTTTTTTTTTTGAAAGTATAATTTTTTTTTACACTTAGCCCCCCCCCCCTTTCAATTTGCTTCCGACGCCAATGCACTTATCATCAAACGGTTGCCAAAATATAACTGCATTTTACATGTATTTCCCTCCTTACATGTGTACAAATGCACACACGTACGATACATAATATACGATGAATTTATTTTTAGAAAGTTCTATATTTTAAAGAATGTCGATGTGTCTTACCGGTCAATAAAAACCGATGTAAAAGAGATTGCTGCAATTGAAACAAAATAATAAACATCTCAAAAATGTGAAGATGACTTAAGACAGTTTTTTTTCCCAACATTACCTGTACTATTGAAAATGTCCACTGAAAGGTTGGTTCCCCCCTTCTTACCACAGTATAGGGATATGAAGAAAATGTAGTATTGTATGCCAAAAAATTGGAAGTAAAAGGAAGTTTGCCCTGGAAAAAGTTAGCCCCCCGAAATACGATTTTTGAGTTTGGGTAATTTCTTTCTTTCTTTTTTTTTTGCTAGTCAATTTTTACAGGTAAGTAAAAAATATTTTCTCTGGTTGCCTCCCCCCTTTCAAAATCGATGCTATGTGCCTGGATTCAGACCTTTTAGGAGTCTTCTTGGGAAACTGTGTAACAAGGTCACGTCATAGAAGAGAACACCCCCCACTACACCTCCCACTCCCCATCCCCAAGACACTATATTTCTGAGACATGAAAACCGTTCCGTACAATAATAATAATTAATTCAAAGCATAGCTAAAACATGTCTTTTTATCAAGTTTAATACAAAAAATGTCTTTATTTTCATTTTTAACAGTCTGCCATATTTGGTATACATGTATGTACATGTAATATAATCATAACAGAATATAAGTCAACATCAATAAAACCGAACTCTCAGTTACATGTATAAATTAAGGGACGGCCATTCATTTAATTTATTTACGGTAGGGGTCGTTAATTTTCATATTATTTACTTTTATACCGCTGTATGACAGAATGTGCTTTTCCAAGATGATTAGAGACAAATTTATTTCCCTGTAAATTTCACAAGCATAAAAATCAAAACTACGTACAGTACTAGTGTTTGGGAAGGGTGTAGGTACCCCCAGTCAAGGTAACACTGAAAAAAAATAACTAGTGAAAGTCACTGGGAAGACTAGTAAATTTACTGTCCATACAATCACTACCTCAAAAGTAGTTTTACTAGGTATTGGGTAGATTTACTAGATAATGTTAGTAAATCTAAGAATTTATAAGTAACTTTCACTAGGTATCTAAGTATCTTTACGACCATCACTCAACTTTTCACTACCTTAGCTTGTACACAGAGTGATTACTAATCATGAAGAACGCTTTACTAGGCACACTAGTTAAATCAACTAGGTAATTCTCTCAGTGAAGATTATACTTCATTACTTCATATCAAGAGGAGGATAGAATATTTGTTTGCAATAATGGCTATATGCCTGTTTGTTTTGTTTGTTTTTTTTTAAAAACCTGCTAACACCTTTCGAGAACGAAATGCTCGTCCCTGTAAGAAGCTGTAAATCGATAATATTCCTCATAATTTTAACGATTATAAAACACGTTTATTACTGACAATGCAATGTGATGAAAAAAAGTTTGAAACAATCGCACTCTGAAGTTTTTTTTCTTTTCTAGCAATAAAATTAATTCAGTCTATCGTGAAAATGGCAATTTGTAGTCGGCCTTTTGCACATTTTCTCGTCCAATATTGTTCTTGAAAAGATTTATAGAAGACACCACCCTTTTATGTTTCTTTTAAGATCGTCAATTGAAATTCAATTGTATTTACCGCTGTCTGTGTTCAAGTCGACGAAAGAAAATTAATCCGATTTTACACAACTTTTTAAAACAATGACGCTAAAATGCAAGTGCTAAGTAAAATAAGGAAAGCAAGTCGTAATAAGACAAAATGCAAGTGCAAGCCAGAAAATGAATATTTATTCATCCTGTTTATTCACAGGCACTTATATATATCATTTATATATAACTCATTTAAATAACCCCTACAACTTTGTTGCAATTTGTGAGGAAAAAACAACAATGCGGAGTCAGTTGAAGTATTGTTTGTAGAGGGAAAACAAGGTGCATACAAATTGTCACGGGAAGGGACGGGGGGAATGGAGGGGGATAGGTTAAGATTTTTTTTCGGCAAGAACATGTTAATTAATCAGTCCAAAAACTACGTTTCTGAATGTTACGTGTGGAATTATTTGAGATTATCATACAGGTAAATTGTACAAAAAAATTAATCAATCAATCAATAGATAAAGTTTAAAAAAAAAACCGGTTCTCTCAAACCACTTATATGATCTTTATACAATCGGGTGTACGAGATATTGATATTTACAGCGACAATGACTATAGTTCTATTGTACAACTAACCTTGAAAAAAATAAATCCATCAAATTTTCTTTTTCTGGATTTCAGAAAGTATTTCAAAAGGAACATGCAACAATTTATTTGTTAACAATTTTACAAACATTTTTTTTATTTCAAATAAGTAGATCGATTGACTTTACTTGAACGTATTGAACATATTGATGGTGAAAACAATTAACTTTTCTCGTCCACATAATCTCAGGATCTCTTCACAATTATAAATTGTCATATATCTTTCAAATTACTTTTCCTAAGAAATTTTGAAGTTCTAAATAAATATTATCAACAGCAACTTAAAAAAAATAGAAAAAAAAGCGTAAATTGTTTTACACGATCTATTGTGACGTCATCTATGAGTTTATTGCGTAATATTCATACTTGTATAATATTGATAATCATTCCAGGCGAAAAACAAACAATTATATCAGTTGCAAAACCAACATAAAAAGTGCTAAAAATCTTGATTATTTGCTCATTTCTTATCTGCGTACTTTTACAATCTTTCTCTTTGTTATATTTTTTTGTTTTGGGGGCCAGATGAACACTTTTACTTCAATCGTTAAGATTGCTGATCTAACGTTATTCCTATCGGTAATTTTCACCTGAAGGGTGGCTAAAGTATATTGTCTACCTAATTTATTGTTCAGCCTATGTTCTTAATGATAATGATTAGACTTAATCACTCATTTTGTAAACTATTTTAAAATTTTTACAGCAATTACGATGCCTTTAATTAAAAAATAAGTCCACATTAGATTTCTCAGCTTGAAATCCGGAATAACATATAAACTCAGTTTTAACATTGGCCGCAGCAAACGCGATTCACTAGATGTTGTTAAATCGAAACATTGTTGCGTTATAAAAAATATATATAAGTTTCATGAATCGCGTTCATTGCGGCCAAAGTGAATTTTGCGATCAAAGATATAAAAAATGCCATTTTTGGAGAATATATTGATACATGGTATGGTTTTGAAATTTACATAGCGTTTGTGTGACGTTTTGGCGCCATTTTACATCCGTGATCAGATAGATCTGATCGTGTACAAAATATATCAACACTTTATTTCTGAAGATATCATTGTTTATTTTTGACGAATTTACTAGGCCGATAGTGGTAACAACCGTATTTTGTTCTTTGCAGAGTTATTGAAGATTTCCTTTAAACGAGGCAGAAAATAAAATAAAATGTGGTACATCTCTCTTCTGCAGAATGTGATGATGATAAATTCGGACTACAATGTGCTCAGTCATGCGGGGTCTGTCTTAATAAAGAACAATGTCATCACATAAACGGGACATGCTTGAATGGATGTGACAAAGGCTATCAAGGCATCAATTGTAATGAAGGTAACAAATCGGGTTTTAAAAGTTTAAAATTGCAATATACAACATAATTTTATTGGAAGCGTTATGTTCAATGACAAGTCTTGTTAAAAAAAGTTGGTATATTTGCAAATGACAAGTTTTAAAGCTAAAAAGAAAGACTAAGAGCAGTAAGAAGAATGTGTTCAAGTTATATATGAAAAGATATTGGTTTTCACCTGATTAATTTGTTTAAAAAATTGTTTACTATTCTATAATAGTTTAGGTTAATATGATAATATTGCAAAGTAAAATAAAAACATCATGTTTAACGACGTGCAATAATATTAAATATTTTGTGGAACAAATATAAAGCATCCTATCTATAAAACTATTTATGTCATCATATATTTTTCTTATCACCGAAATTTTATTCTTACATAATGACATGTCTAATTTCACAATCTATCGTAATTTTTTTCTTTAAAATATGTATAAAAAGTATTTTGAAAATTTAGAATGTCCCTGGGGTTTTCATGGTTATAGTTGCAACAAAACGTGCAGCAACGATTGTTTTAATAGAAGTTGTAACGCAGTAACTGGAGCGTGTCCGGTGGTGAGTAGAACTGATATTCAATTTAATCTCTTTATTCACTGATTTTTTCAATTAGTAATTTACCGTTCACGATAGCTCAGTCGGTAGAGCGCTCGCTCCGTTATCGGGAGGTCGTGAGTTCGTATCTCGGCCGCGACTGACCTAAGTCGATAAAAATGGGTAGCAACTGTTCCTTCGCCATGCGCTCGGCACTTTGAAGAGAAAGTTGCGGGTCCTTCGGATGAGACCTTAAAAACCGAGGCACCGTGTCAGCGGCAGGCGTTGGCACGATAAAGATCCCTTACTGTTCAATGGCCCTGAGTGCCGAGTAAAGGTCAAAATTTGAAGCCCTTCACCGGCATACGTTGACGTCTCCATATGAGTGAAAAATTCCCTCGAGGGACGTTAAACAATATACAATCAATCAATCAATCAATTAGTAACTTTGTTTATACCGTATTTATTCCAGAAAAGGCATGTGCTTATACTTATCTGGACGTAAAAGATCCTGAAAATAAGGCTTGTCATTTGGAGCAATTGCTCTAATGAAGTTAATAAATGCACGTGGTACTCTCATTATCTGGAAAATAGTCTTCCTACTTGGTCATGTGAAAACGGAACAATAAGAATCATTCAGTTTAAATACTATATAAATGTTTTTGTTTTTTTTTATAAACGTTGATTTTTGAGGTTTCAACTCTAAAAGTTAGTACATAGATTCCTTCAAAGAAAGTAACTGCATACTTGGGTGTTTCCGAGCTCATTTCTCATACACCATATAGAGTAAGTATTTGGTACTATGTAAGCTGACTAAATTCAGGTTGAATCAGCAGTGTTCCTTCATATTTTTCTCTCGACGATATGTATGCATTTTTACTATTTATAAACCGAAGAAAACGATCGTGATGCATTTTCGTTATTAAACAATTGAAGGTATTTTTGACTTTGAATTTAAATCTTGAATAATTCATACGAAGATGTTTTCCCATATTATCAACTATCCTTAAAAACACTGAGAAATTTTACTTGCCAAATGGCTATGAACGACCAAACCTGTTCATAAACAAATGGGTTATTTTGGAGGCATTTAAAAGCAGAGAGCTGCTGTGCTAGCACCTATTGCTTTTCTTGGGTAAATTAATTATTTTCGGCGAGAAAAAAAGGTACTTAAAACTAAAAGAACAAAACATGGTGCCGATCCTGTCTAATTTCTTTTATAAGCTGGTAATTTGCGTTTAATCTTAAGGATCATAAAATATATTTGAAAAAGGTAGGCATACATGTATAATGAATCAAAGTATTGGCCCCAACCGTGGTTCAGAAAGTTTGTCTTAAATTAAAAAAAAAAAATAATTATAAATTGCTATCTACATTACAGTATTTAGACATGCAATGAAACTGTTGAGGATTTTCAAGATACTATCTATTTTTAAAGAATATTTTCTATATACAAAATAGGGTATTTCGAACGAAAAAATGTATTTGTTCTGCACCTAATAGTTTAATTTTATTATATTTATTATTTATACTTCTGATCCCTAGGAAACAAAGACTTTTCCTATCATTGGAGGGACAGCAGCAATCACCGTTGTTAGCCTGGCGGTTGTCATACTATGTTTTATCTTCAGAAGGTAATTGTCAGACATAAAACATATAGCGGGTTTCTTGGGGGGTGACAAATTTAGCGTTTTACCGGCTCTAAGGTATGTCAATTATTTTGACGAAATTTATTTTAGCGAATGCAGGGTTTCACCTCTTTTCAGAGGGTCAATAATAAGAGTACCGACTATATGAGCGATAAATTTTTAGTAGACTTTCATCGACAAAAGAAGCCAAAATTAGAACCCCGCTAAAATAACCCGCTTTAGGTTACTAATAACTCTCTTACTTTATACTGTTTTATATTTGGCTTACTTTTTTATGTTAATACTTTTTTAATTTTTTAATTTTTTAAATTTAGATCATTTGAAAATGCTTCTTCTTAGCATTGGTATTTTAGCAAAGACATTTCCAATGTCTTTGTTCGAGATAAAATTACATATAGTCACTGTACTTTATTTCGCCATCAATGTACTGGTTCATTGAAAGGTGCGACCAAAAACAAATCTCGTGCAGGTCGGGGCAAATAGAGAAAACAAGCGGGGCTTTTAGTACGTGGATTGGCAATGTCAATGCAGTGTAAATATAAGGAATAACTGGAAGAATTTTCGATTTCATGACGGTAATGTGATTAAACGATTGGCGTGCGTGATAATTTTATGAAAATATAACGCAAGCCAATATATTGATCACCTCATGAAATCGAAAAATAAGACAGTTGTTCCTCAATGCATTTTCAAATACAAAAGAAATTGACAGTCCGTCTTTAAAAAAAAAATCACTAGCACTGATTTATATAGTTTGCGAAATAGAAATGATGCAATTCAGTACTTGGAAGTAATAAAAGACATCATTGGTCTGAATTTGACATGCATGATTAATTCAATTCTTAATATTATCATAGATAACTTTATTCAATAGTAACCAATATTTGCCCCCAAAATCAAACTTTGACGAAGTAAAATTTAATTATGCTTTAAAATAGGGGGATCCATGCTGACTTCAAAGCACTGAATGTTTTCGTCAGCGATTACGTCATATGTTTGAAACGACGTCAGGAAAATAACGTAAATCTAAAATTTCCATGATTTCTATAGAAAAATGTAAAAATTGCGTCAATATTTTGAGTAAAAATCACCAAGCGCAGGTGTGTTCAGGCTCAATATTTTTATATAATGTGTAGAATAATAATATCAATTAATAATTATCATTATTAACATTAATATTAATATGCAAATATTGTTCCTAAACAGACATGGGTTCTATAAATAAAATTGTTGAAATTTTGACCATTTTGTCCTTTTTCTGAAAAATCATGCAAAATCCGACGAGTTTGTGACTTCATAAATTAAAAAAAATGTCAATTACCTACTTTGAAATTATAAAATGCTTTGTTAATTTATATCTTTCATACAATTTATGCAATACAACACATTTTAAGAGTTTTTCAAAATTTAATTTTTGTGGGGGCAAAGATATGCAAGATACAAAATAAAGTTCTTTTAACCTTTAGAAAATTAATCAGGAAATATACAAGAGGGACAGCAAAATACCAGAATAATTCAGAAAAGAAAGCTGAGAAATTGTCTTCCGAAAATACAACACCTAATAAGGATATATATGGTGAGAAAGGAACGTATCAAGAACTTGGACCCAGGACAGAGGGGTCTGATAATGGTGGATATCAGAAATTGGGACATAGGGTAGAGGGGTCTGATAATGGTGAATATCAGGAATTGGGACCCAGGACAGGAGTATCTGATAATGGTGATTATCAGGAACTTGAACCAGGGATGGAGAGCTATGATAAAACCAAAGACAACACAGAATACCAGGAACTGGGTCAAATAAGTGAACACTTTTATTATGAAAAATTACATTAGCTTGGATTTTGGAAGTTTATTTTTCTTTAAACATCAACGATTTCAAGCGTAGTGTTCGAGCATTATGGAAAGAAGTTGTACATAAAGAAGATGAATGTCTTATTAAGGAAAACTATTGTAAAATACTACTTTATGCATTGCTTTCTAATGGGAAAGAAGAACTCGAAAAAATATTTGAATGCCATGGTGGTTTTTAAATCTCATGTTAAGGGTACAGAGTCATGAAAAATGCTTGTCTAAACCAAACTCTACCATTACCTACTTAATCTTCTTGAGTCAAGGTTTATCAAATGAAAAAAAAAAGCTTCAATATTATCCAATTTAAGGTTCATAAACCTTCTGCTCACTCCATATAAAATGTTGCTTGAACCTCAAAGATTTTCCAATAGAAATATATTTTATAAGTAAAATGCAAATAATGGTAGCTTCCGGGGCAAAATTAGACAAAAAAGACACTTAAACTTGACAAGACAAATCTATGAAGGACTAATAGACATATGTCATTAAGAGTTATCTCTCTTATCAGAGTATCGATGAACCTTACGACATTCCTCAATTTGATGTTATTTTTTATCTTTCGAATAAACAGGGTTTAATATCTATGTTACATATCGTGTATCGGAGCATAGGTTCGTGGTGCACACGATTGAATTATATGTTTTAAACTGTTTAGATAGCATGACAATTCGCTTAATCTTTGCTACTTTAACTAAAAAGTAGATACGTTGCCTCTTTGATAGACAAATATCAGATTAAAGGCAGGTATCTGGGCATCTTTCAAATGATTTAAATTGACATTTTAAATATAGAACTTTTATGAAAGAATTGACCTTATTTTTCAGGATTTGAACTTTTTTATAGAGTTATGTAAGATTAAAGGCTGATATCTGTAGTTCTATTCACATGATTTAAATTGATATCTACAATACATTTTTATACAAGAATATGGTCTTATCTCAAGAATTCGGACTTTGTAAATAAAAAGCAAATTTAACAAGTTATCATTTTGCATTATATAGGTTTTTTTAATTGATAATGTTTGCATTTATTATTATATAGATATTACATGTAGTTGAGTGTAAATTTTGAAAATTTTCACCCCAGAAAAAACATTGTCAACGAGGCGCAGCCGAGGTTGACAATGGTTTTCCCGGGGTGTGGCTTTATTATTCAGCGGGTACATGTAATAATGATTTTAAAAAGATGTTTCTCGGCCATTCAGATTCAACTAATTTACATAAAAGAATAATATTGAATATGAATCATCTGTTGAAAACATCATTTTAGTGTACAAACGGTGCTGATTTGAATATGGAAATTTAAATTATCATATTTACCATATTTGCCATGAATTGATATACAATGTATTTAAAATGTCGCGGATGTGATTTGCATGTCACCTCTAACATGGATGTGACATGCATATCACACCTTGTGGCCAATTTTGTTTTAATGTGCCATCTTTTTGCTAACTTTTTCATATGATGTTTTGATTGTCTTGTCTTACAGATACTTTTTCTAGTCAGTTTTAGGGGATCACACATTATCATATTTACGTAACTTCTAATCAAAGCTTGTGAATCTGATCCACTTCTTATTTGTTAAATTGTTCATATTTACACTCTCATTTTAATAAATGACATTATTCATTATTCATCTCTATGAAAGTGTTTCATTTAACTTACACAAAATTAGCAAAAACAAGTTGCGGTGAGCTTGCAAATAAGCATAAGAATACACAGAACAACAATTTTTGGAATAATATATGTATATCGATAACTTAGTTGGAGGTTTCTGGTAGGATTGATTTTGGTAGATTGTGAAAATTCTTAGATCCACGCCTTGGTTGATGGTTTACATATGATAGGTGTAAGGTCACGTGGTCAGCTCAGCGAGTTGTAATGTGATAACCCGCATGCTGACCACGCTAACAGCAGGCACGTCTATTTTGAAGACCCTCCTCCACCCCTGCATCCCTTGAAATGGGTATTAATGTGTCAAGTTAATTCATATATTTGATTGGTTCTGATTTAATTTGTTTATATATATTTTTCATGTACATGTATTTTGTTTCACTACTATCCTTGGCCTATTATGTTTTGATGTGCCATCTTTTTGCTAACTTTTTCATATGATTGTCTTGTCTTTCTAGTCGGTTTTGGGGGATCAGACATTATCATATTTAACGTAACTTCTAATCATAGCTTGTGAATCTGATCCCCTTCTTGTTTGTTAAATTGTTCACATTTATACCGTCATTTTAATAAATGACATTATTCATCTCTATGAAAGTGTTTTATTTGACCTATATAAAATTAGTGAAAACAAGTTGCGGTAAGCTTGCATGTAAGCATAAGCATACATAAATTTAAATTATAAACATTATTATCTGTTTATATTTTATAGCTTTCTGGTTCTAAATGAATTGTTATACTAATTTAGAATAGCATTGGTCATGAAATACAAAGGAATTATGCTAGAAAAACAAAGTCATTCCAGAAGAAAAAGAAATAAGAAAAAATGTGCTAACAAAACCAAATACGATGTTCTAACATTTTTTTTCTGTTTACCACAATCTTTATTCATCTGAATTTCAGCGTGTACCTTAAACATTTAACACGATGTCACAGATGTGTTTTTAAATATATCTGCGACACGTACTGTACTTTCTTTATTTCGTCAATCTCTTCATAGTGTGCATTGACAGTGTTTCTTTCTTGGACATATCACGCAATTTTCTTTTTATATGAGCTTCTTTGTAAAAACACTGAATCAAACTTACTAGATAACAAGCTTACGATATCATGTGCATAATATGTATAATCTAACTTTTCTTACTATTCTATTATAACAAATAATATTCATTTCAATATAAGTATTTATTTTTGATTCACAAAAAGACGATCATGAAAAAAATAAGATGACTTTAGTGACTTATTTCTTGAGGTGTTGTATATCCAGTATTGACGTTAACTCTAGATCTCCTATTATTTTCTGTGCTATGCATGGCGTTTTCTGTGGACATCTGTGTGGTAGAGTGTACTTTTTTCTTAACAATTCTTCCATTTGCATGTAATGTTTTACAACTTCTAAAAGAGGAGAAAACCAACAACAGAATGAGAAGTGTCAATAGACAAAAGTTAAACAAGATAACAAAATAAGAAAAGAAAGAATATTTATTAAAACTGAATATATTTTCAAAAATGCACTAATTTTGGAAAGATTAAGCACATTTTCATTTTAAAAGGCCAAAGCAAGTACTATTGTAACCCCAAATCATGATTTGTAACAAAAACGTGAATCTACACTTACCTGAAAATGATTCCAAAAATTTTACCAAACTTTGAAGTACTTGAAAAGAAGATTTAAACGGGTTACCTATATATTCCTATGTAAAACTTTGGTCGACCATTTTGGCCCCACCCTAGCCCCGAGGATAGTTTGTTCAAGATTTGAACAAACTTGAACCTACATTACCTTAGGATAATTCCACATGAGTTTCATCTTTCCTGTCCCAATGGTTTCTGAGAAGAAAATTTAAAATTTCTAAGATTTTTCTTATATATTCCTATGTAAAGCTTTTAACGTCCATTATGCCCCACCCTAGCCCAAGGGTTCATGATTTGGTCAAATTTGAATCTACAACTACCTGAGGATGATTCCACATGAGTTTTGTCTTTCCTGTTCCTATGGATCTTGAGAAGAAGATTTTTTTACAGATTTTTCTTATATATTCCTAAGTAAAACTTTGATCTGTCATTTTGGTCCCACCCTACCCCTGGGGATCATGATTTGAACAAATTTGAATCTACACTACTTGAAGATGATTCCACATGAGTTTCATTTTTCATAGTTTATTTTGAAGAAGATTTTTAAAGATTTTTTCATATATTATTTCGATGTAAAATTTATATGCCATTCTCCCCACCCTACATGACATGAGAACAAACTTGAATTTACACTACCTGAGGAAAATTCCAAAAATATGCCTTTTTCCTGGTTTTTTTTCTTGAGAAGAAGATTTTTGAAGAATTTTCCTATATATTCCTATGTAAAACATTGATCGGCCATTTTGGCCCGGCCCTACCCCCGGGGTTCATGATTTGAACAAACTTGAATCTACACTACCCGAGGGTGTTTCCCTATAAGTTTCATCTTTCCTGGCACAGTGGTTTTTGAGAAGATTTTCAAACATACTATCAAATTTTCACTATTTCTGAATCATCTCCCATTGAATAAAAGCATGACCCTTCATTTGAACAAACTTGATTTTCCCTTTACCTAAGGATACTTTGTGCCAAGTTTGGTTGAATTGGACCAGCGGTTCTTGAGAAGAAGTCAAAAATGTGAAAAGTAAACGACGACAACAATGACGAGGACGAAAGACAACGGACAAATTTTGATCATAAAAGCTCACTTGAGCCTTCGGCTAAGGTTAGCTAAAAAGAATATTAATCAAAACTGAATATATTTTAAAAAATGCACTAATTTTGGAAAGATTAGGCACGTTTGAATTTTTAAAAGGTCAAAGAAAGTACTATTTCCTTTCGTAACAAAAGCTAACAAACTTACTTGAAAACGAAAAATATTTTTAACAGAACACTTAAAGCAAGAACTGCCAAGACTCCATGCAGAAATGACGAATACGTGGTGTTTTAATCGGACTTTGATATAACATCTGTCCCAAGAAAAGAAATGTAATATAATGTTAATGTACATATATCTTATATTACCACCTAAACAGTTTCCAATCATGTTTCTTTCACCGAAGGAAGCAAAATTTTTTGAATGTTCTGGTATTCAAAACTGAAAGTCAGATTGCGTTTATAAATTTCAATAAGAAAAAAAAGTTGCTTATTTACATAAAAGTAGTCTTCCAACAATTTATTGAAATGTCCATCGGTACCAATTGCGCTCCGTTTTCAACACACCTTATTTTATATTGATATGGAGCAGAATTTGTGCAATATCATATGTATTAGAAGAATAAATATATATGTCATATGTTATATATGGATATTTAACTTTAAAAAGACGTTAATGGTAATCTAACAAAGCCCTATGAAAAATGCGTTGATTTTATATTTTCTATTCTCAACTTCCCTTACTTATGCAGCAACATACCTTCATAATCCGTAAACTGATTTTTTCTTCATAGCTCATCATATTCCAAACACAAGAGCATGTTCTATGTATGAACAATTTCTGAAACGAGGTTAACTATGGACAAACAATTTGATGCATCAAGAATTTCAACTGTCTCATTTAAAGTCATAATTTCGTTAGAGCTATTGTCCTTACAGTGACCTTATCACCACATACATTTTATCACTGGGTCAAATGCTGACTGACCTTCTCTATAGTGATTGTTGCCCCATGGAGATCCAGGTTAGAATAGGTCCTCAGTACCCCCTTGCTTGTCGAAAAAGGCGACTAAATGGGGCAATCCTTCGGATGAGACCGTATAAACCGAGGCCCCGTGTCACAGCAGGTGTGGCAAGTTAAAGATCCCTCCCTTCTCAAAGGCTGTAAGTGCTGGGCATAGGCCTAAATTTGCAGCCCTTCACCGGCAATGGTGACGTCTTCATATCAGTGAAATATTCTGAAGAGGGACATGAAACAGTATACAATCAGTCAATCAATCAAACTAATTGTTAGTCTATTATTTATACATTGAATTGACGACGTATATTTTTCCGTTATTTTTTCTGATCATGACAAGGCGCACACAGTGGGTGTGAATTGTCGGCAGGTGATGTTGTACTTCTCCATGACACCTGATCCAACCTCCTTTGTTTTCGAAGCCAGTGTTTGCTCTGCTCCTATTTTGTATTGTTTAATGGACTTTTTTGTCTTGAATACTGTTCTCTACATGTATCTCCATATTTTTCATTACAATGAAATAATACATACTTCGACTTTTAAGCGTATATTTTTTCTTTTTAAAACTGGCACAAAGCAAGCACATTTTGCATCAATCAAGTTTCACCTTAATTACATTAAGTATTCTTATTTATTTTGCATTTCAAATTTTAAAGCTTTGTAAATACTCACTGTACTGGCATTTAGGTCCAACGTGACCTGAGACACAACCGAAACATGTTCCATTCACAATGTTACAATGACTTCCCTGGCAGTTCTGTGGACATTGTATACTGCAGTTTTCCCCATAATAACCGTTGGATGGACATTCTAATTGACAGATTGATAACCTAGTGAATATACGCGCTCTTTGAATTTTGAGGGAAAGAATGTGGTACAAAATAAAGGCTTCTCTTGCATTTAAATTCTGTTATCTATTTTTCCTTACAACTTTTTAACTCGGAGAAAAAATAAAAATTTAAATCTATATAAGGGTCCTTTTATCATATGTATTATATATATTTATTCACCAAAGACCTGAGGAAATTACATCTTTTATGATCTTTTAAGTAAAGAATAGATAGATTTACTAATGTAAGGTTATATGCATGTATGCATATCCATAATGTAAGCATATTGTAATTACCCATACATTATTATTGTAAAACTACATAAAAATAAAGGCATTGCAGACGAAGCTCAAAATGGACACTAATGCATGCATAACTTGTTTTTAAATTTTAATGAATCTTGCTACATAGGCAAATTTTTCTTTGGTAAAATATGTATATGAATTTTGTTTACTAAATTGTATCAAATCGTTTCCATAGATTAAGAAGTTTTAATTGGAGAAAAAAAACACTGTATATTGATATGATATCAAGGGTAGCTGAAAAATATGTATAAAGATTTTAAAATTTTAAATTCTGAATATTTTTGAACTGTTAATCAAGCTGACTTTTATGAAAGGAGTTGGTCTATGTAAACTCTGTTGTTTACTCTACAAGTTACTAAAATAAAACAATATATACTCACAATCAATAGAAACGCAACACCGTAATTTTAGGGTGAAAATTATATAAGGGATGTACATGTATCTGTGTACCAAAAAAGTTAGGACATTTTTAACTTTGCTAAATCAGTTATATAACGGTTTAATGATTTTCTGACCATTATTGAAAATTGCTCTTTAGTCCTCCATACAGAAATCAAAATTTTGCATTTTTAATAAATTTTTTAAAAATATTTTGGGTTTTCAAGGTTCTGCAGCTGTTAATCATAAGTAATCTACTAAACGTTAAAGATTTCCACACATTTTTGGTTCATAGTTATAACTCGTATATAATTTTACCCTTTGAATAAGGGTGTTGCGTTTCTTTTGACTGTCAATATATTTAAACAAGATAAACCA